ATATATATATATATATATAAAAGGAAAAGTAAAAGAAAGTATAAATGGAAGTGAGAAGATTAAATAGAGGTTTATGATCGAGACTTTTTTAAAATGTTGATGATTTGGGAGTAGGCGAGTGATAGATTTTGCTTGTCGGTTTTTAAGTTAAGTGGTTTGTAGTCTAATTGAATGAAAACACTTTCCGTAAGTAGTCTTTTGTCGTGGTTAGGTACTGTGGCAAGAATGGAGGTATTGTCAAAGTCAAATGTGTGGTTTGAGGTTAAGGCGTGTTCAGAGAGTTTAGAAGCAGTAGAGTTCTTAGAAGTAATTGAGTATTTGTGTTGTTTGATGCGGTCTTTAAGTTGGTTTTTGGTTTCTCCAATATAGGCGGAGTTACAATTGGTGGTAGAGCAAGGAATGCGGTATACGATATTAGAGCGGTGTTGCGGAGGGATGGGGTCTTTTAGGTTGGAGTAAATATTGGCAAGTTTGTTATAGTTTTTAAAAGCAACTCGCAGGTTGGGAATAGAGGAACGTAAAGATTTTTGAATTCTATCCGAAAGTAAAGGGATGTATGGTAGAGATCTATATAAAGGAATGGGGGCTGATTTTGAGAACTAGAGAAAGGGATGGAGGATGAGGGGCGGGTTTTGTAGTCAGTAATAAGTTTTTTAATGGTGTTGGAGGGGAAGTTATTAGACAATAGTATCCGTTGTATGCGTCTAGTGTTTGTTTCATGTAGGTAAGGGTCAGATAGAGAAAAACATCGGTGAATGAGGTTTTTGGCAACGTTAAGTTTTTGGTGAAAGGGGTGTTGAGAATAGTAGTTGAGTAATCTGCCAGAGTATGTTGGTTTTGTGTACCAGTCTGTGGATAAAGTATTGTTGGGATGTCTTTTAATGAGAAGATCGAGGAAAGGGAGGGAATAGTTATCTTCGTATTCAACTGTAAAAGAGAGGCGGGGATGATATGAGTTAAAGGCGGAAAGGATGTCAGGAATAGTATCAGGATTGACGATGAGAAGAAGGTCATCGACGTATTTTTTTATAAGAAATATGTCATTAGGAAACTGTGGGGCTATGGTGTTTAGGAGATCATTAAGAACAATGTTAGATAAGTCGGGTGCGAGAGGATTACCCATAGCTAATCCTGCAATTTGATTATAAAATTGTCCATGGAACTGGAGATAACCAGATTTGCAACAAAGTTGTAGGGATTCAATAAATGATGAACGGTTAAGGGAGGTATGAGACTCTAAGGATGACCAGTTATTTTCTACTATAAGAAGGGCTTTATCTATAGGGATGTTGGTGAAGAGGCTTTTAACGTCGAAGGAGACTAGAATGTAATTATCGGGAATGGTTAGGGATAATAACAAATTACGTAGATGAAAGGAGTTGTGGATATCATATGGATTGTCATGACTAAGGATTTGTAAGGATGGGAGTAGAAATTTGCTGAGTTTTAAAGAGGGAGAGTTGATATTAGAAGTGATAGGACGGAGGGGAGTGCCGGGTTTGTGAATTTTTGGAAGACCATAGAAACGGGGAGCCACGGAGTTATAAGAGATGAGGTTTCTGTAAGTAGGATATGTGATTTGTTTAGAGTGTAAGAGGTTTCTGATATGTTGGTTAAATTGGATTTTAAGAGAAGGAGTGGGGTCACGAGTTGTAGGAGCGTATGTAGATATGTCTGATAGGAGTTCAGTCATTTTTCTATTATAGTCTGTGAGGTCCATGATAACTGTTTTATTTCCTTTGTCCGCTTTAGTGATGATGATGTCGTCATGATTTTTAAGGAAGGAGCGTGTGGAAGAAAGATCTTTGAAGAATTGAGGGGAAAAGTTAGAAGTAGTGGATGGGGGGTGTTGGAGATGGTTAGAGATAATGTTAGTTATGGAAACACGAGATAATTCTTTATTATCATTAGAATGGTGAAAGATCGGATCGTTATAAATATATTCCAAGTCAGTAATAAGTTCAGGGATGAGTTTGGTAGAGGAATTAGGGGTGGAAAAATTCGGACCTAAGCTTAAAATGTTGAGGACGTTGGAAGGAATATCTATGGATGAGGAGTTGTGGACCCAATTATCGTCTCCTTTTGGGTATATCTTATGGACTAACGATTGCTGAAAAATGTCATTAAATTTAGTTGTGAGAATACTTTTTTTCTTTGATCTGGTAGTAATAAAGATAGTGGAGATAATTTGTGATAGGTTAGTCATGTGTTCGTCAGTCATGATGGTTTGTAATAATTGAGTGATGGCGGAAATTTGTTGGTTGAGGTGATGGATATGTTGTATGATTTCACGGATTTTCAAATTAAGGAGAGATTTTTTGAATTTTAAAGAACAGTTAGATAATTTGGAATTGAGTGGTTTGGAGATAGTAATGTGATTGAGGGAATTAGTGATTGATTTAGGAAAAAGAGAGTTGGAGCGGCATTTCAGTAAAAAAATGCGCTGTTCTAACGTGTCGGCAAGGCGTTTGTGGAGCGAGCATAGGTTATTAATGTGGTATTTGTGACTAGAATAAATGGTTTTGAAAAATGAGAAGGATAAATTAGCTTGACTGGGAGCGGAACTTATTAGAGAGGAGGAGTTTAAAACTGAAGAGGTCAATGTGTGACGAATTGTTAAATGAAGATGGAGAAGAGTGTGAAGAGAAGTGATTAGATAACGGTGCTGCGTGATGAAAAGTTCTGGAAGGTTTTTGAAATCTGGTACTGCGACGAGTGGGAAGAACAGAGAGGTTCTGATGTGCGGATGACTGTTGTTGTAGATTGTTGGATCTGGTATTAAGTCTGGAACTGCGACGTATGGACTGAGTGTTTGTATCTTGATGTTGACCCCGTGGTAATGCATTCATAATGATGTAGAGATGGTTGACCGTTGATATGATATGAGAAGGAATTAGTCGAGGGTGCGGTCGATGACCTTCTTCTCATCGTCAATCCTGATACTATTCCTGACATCCTTTCCGCCTTTAACTCACATCATCCCCGCCTCTCTTTTACAGTTGAATACGAAGATAACTATTCCCTCCCTTTCCTCGATCTTCTCATTAAAAGACATCCCAACAATACTTTATCCACAGACTGGTACACAAAACCAACATACTCTGGCAGATTACTCAACTACTATTCTCAACACCCCTTTCACCAAAAACTTAACGTTGCCAAAAACCTCATTCACCGATGTTTTTCTCTATCTGACCCTTACCTACATGAAACAAACACTAGACGCATACAACGGATACTATTGTCTAATAACTTCCCCTCCAACACCATTAAAAAACTTATTACTGACTACAAAACCCGCCCCTCATCCTCCATCCCTTTCTCTAGTTCTCAAAATCAGCCCCCCATTCCTTTATATAGATCTCTACCATACATCCCTTTACTTTCGGATAGAATTCAAAAATCTTTACGTTCCTCTATTCCCAACCTGCGAGTTGCTTTTAAAAACTATAACAAACTTGCCAATATTTACTCCAACCTAAAAGACCCCATCCCTCCGCAACACCGCTCTAATATCGTATACCGCATTCCTTGCTCTACCACCAATTGTAACTCCGCCTATATTGGAGAAACCAAAAACCAACTTAAAGACCGCATCAAACAACACAAATACTCAATTACTTCTAAGAACTCTACTGCTTCTAAACTCTCTGAACACGCCTTAACCTCAAACCACACATTTGACTTTGACAATACCTCCATTCTTGCCACAGTACCTAACCACGACAAAAGACTACTTACGGAAAGTGTTTTCATTCAATTAGACTACAAACCACTTAACTTAAAAACCGACAAGCAAAATCTATCACTCGCCTACTCCCAAATCATCAACATTTTAAAAAAGTCTCGATCATAAACCTCTATTTAATCTTCTCACTTCCATTTATACTTTCTTTTACTTTTCCTTTTATATATATATATATATATATATATATATATATATATATATATTATATATATATATATATATATATATATATATATATGTGTGTGTGTGTGTGTGTGTTTGTATGTGTATATATATATATATATATATATATATATGTGTGTGTGTGTGTGTGTGTGTTTGTATGTGTATATATGTGTATGTATGTATGCGTTTTTTTTTTTACTAGAACTTTTTTTTTGACACTGCTAACTAGAGTTTTTGACACTGCCAGTGTTTCAACCGCCTCCCGCAGTGCCACATCCAACGGTATGTTTTGACTTTTATTGAGATTCCTTTCTTAACACACCTATCCTTCAACTATACACCTTATTATTATCTTCATACAGCCTACCATTCCATTACCGCTTTCAAAAAACTAAATGTCAATTGTCATCTATATATAGTACAACCTGTTTTTTGTTTCTTTATCATCATAACCTTGTTTTTACATTTATTCTTACATTTTAAAGTATTCTTTTAAAATTATTGTTTTCTTATAGAGTTATTTATACTTAATAATCTATCCCAACAATATTACACTCATGTTACTCTATTAATCTTTCAATTTCTTCACTTCTTAACCTTTGGTCCCGTTATCTGTTTATTTACAATTAAAGGTAACCTCCACTTGCTTGTTATCCACTGATATCTTATTATTATGTTATCTTATCCATATTTTAACTTTACTGTAACAATAGTTATTCAATTTTCAATCAATTTATTCGTTAACATTCATTTATTCGTTAACATTCATGTATTTATTTTCTTTTATCTATTTTCTTATCATGTATTTATTTTCTTTATCTTTTATTTCTGTATCTGACAACTTCTTCGTAATTTATATATACTTATATTTATTTTTTATTTTATTTTTATATTTTCAACATGTTTGTATCTTTTGTAGCCCTGAAGACGACCTGCAAAGTGGATCGAAACGTCGGCAAAAATTAAAATTATTTATATATTTTAATTTTTTTTTTTTTTTTTTGACCGCACCCTCGACTAATTCATTTTCATATCATATCAACGGTCAACCATCTCTACATCATATTATTTTGTTGTTTTTTTTTAGAAAGAGGAGATGTCGAACCAATCCGAATGGATGACGAGTACCTGCTCCGATTTCTAAGGGCACGAAATTTCAAGATGGAAGCCACCTACCGATTGGTAAGTACCTAAAACTGATCCAAACCGAGAACTTCATTGAACATTTATCACATTCCATTCACATTTATAAACAAAACAACTTTCTCATTTTTAATTATAATAATTAATTTTTAAATAAGTTATTTTAAATTAACCTATTTTCTCGTGTTTTTATCTTTTTTTGCCAGTTTCGAGACTAACTAGCCCAAGGGTAGAAATCTACCTTCCAACTTCCTCTGAGCTTTCATCAAGTAATATCTGATGTCCTGATACCATAAATTATTTTTCTGAAATAACACTGCATTATGCCTCAAAAGCTCTTCTTTTTTTACTAATATTGTATTATTACTTGACAAATAGTTTTTATTGTTATTATACTGCAGCTTATTCGTATATCCACGTGATTTCATATCGGTCGGTCATTCTCCCAAAATGTGTCAAACGGTGTCCGAAAGTTACAACCTTTCCAACAATAATTTCCTAATCATAAGAAATATCTCAGCAAACAATCAACCTTTATCTAGATTTGGCATTAGTTAATATTTGGAGTAAAACACTTAAAATTAAGGCAAAAATATGTTTATATTTTAATTATAATTTTTTAAAATTTATTTTCACTTTCTTACTTTGCTACAGGAATCGCGTTATAATAGAGACCAGATCTTCGTGCAGTTAAAATCCAAAAATCCTGCAATAAAAACTAAAATATATTAAATTTTGTAATTAACATCTAAAAACGCTCAAAATCATCGATGTTTTTTAATTTATAATATTAATAAATCAAAATATTATCAGACCTTTAATTAATCTTCTGAATTAAGATGATATGCAACGAGAAAAAGAAATTAAAATGCAACATTGAAAATGAAATTCCAGATCATTATCAACAAATGACAAAATATATAATATAATACGACAATAAATTACGATTAATCTAAATCTTAAATAAAGATAAATTTAAACAATAATAAGGACTACATATATCTAACATTAACTTAATATCCTTTCCTATCATCCTGACAATGATAATTTCAAGACAAAAAACAAAAAACCCTGTCTACAGAATAAGCATTCAATAATTAACAGACAAATAATGGAATATATTTGTTTGAATTATCCTTAAAATGGATAATTGGCCAATGGACTGATTAGGTATGAAATAATTCACAACATCAAAGGTTTGAAGGAAAAATTATAAGTGTACACTATACCAAGTTTCGATATTTAACTTATATTACAAATAATATATGTATATACATAATTATGAGTTGTCCACATAATAATAAAAATTTAATTTTTTAATCGAATTTTAATTTCTAATATTATATATTCCACAACATTTTTTATTCACATTTAAAGAGTTTTTAAGAAACTTTCAAGTGTTTTAATATTAGAGTTAAAGCTGGTTTTCTAAACCACTAAACAATATTATTTTTTAAATGTCTGTAAAAAAAAAAATCAGTTCTTTAATAGGACTATTTCTTACCTATTCCACAATGAGTGACTATCTGTGAATTCCTATTTTGCCCGATTGATTTTTCACAATGTGTACAGAAAATAAGTTTCTTATCATATTTCAAATCGAAGTATTTTGATATCAAGATTTTAATTTTTAACGAGAGACTAGATCTTACTTCCAGCATTATTAATTTTTTTTTTTAAATAATGAAATTACTACAAATGAGTTCAAAGCCAGAAGGGATACTGAAAGATTGGACGAATGAGTGAGAATTAAAGTCAAAACAATAACAATGTCTTTTTATCAAAGCATCATATTCTAGGAAGTTAGATTTTTATTCTTATTTAGTGTTGCCGAAATGCTAAACCAAGACGAATCTTGGTCTTGCTCTTAGTCTCGCAGCAGTGTTGCAGTTACCTATTAGCTAGCTTATTACAATAGAGATATTATGTTAATTTTACAGATAGATAAAATTTAACTAAGCCCAAATGAAAAATTGGAAGAGTTAAATGCAAAAGTATATTGGTTATACCAGTTCTTCACATATAGTAACTAAAATTGTCAAGTACTAATGACTAGTTGGCCTTAATTTTTATTCACAAAAACAATTTTTTTTTATCAGTCTTGGTCTTGGGCTTGTAACAGTTAGACGGTCTTGGTCTTGGAAAGTGCTAGACCAAGATCGATTTAGGGCATCACAAATCTTATCCGATAATTTTGGCAAGTTCTATTCCATGAATATTTTCCACTTAAGTCATTACTTCTTCCTTTTGTTCATTACTAATATCTTTGTTTGTCACAGAATTATTTAACTTTCCTATATTATTAATTATAAATTTATCCTCATACCAGACTGAAACGACTAGAAACCGCCCGGCGTTTTCGACTACTAGCAGCACTTACTAGACAAACGCTCTAAACTTCCACCTATTTACAAAAGACTCATATATATTACTATTAAAAGGCCTATTTGGACTTACGGGATCGAGTTTTGGGGCTCTACTAAACCATCAAATTCTTCTCGTATCCAATCCCTACAATCCATAATCAATAATAAATTTCAATTTCAATTAATGTAAATTTCAATAATATATATATATATATATATATATATATATATATATATATATATTATATATATATATATATATATATATATATATATATATATATATAATCAATTTAATTTGGACAATATCTTGCAAGTTAGAGCAAAAAAAGAAAAACGTTTAATTTAAAATTTAAAGGTGTTATTCAACAGATCCTGAAACGGATAGATATTCAGGTTTTAAGATTACACACGGAAGCATATAAAATATGCAGGAACATGGAAATCAAGTTTCTTGTTTGTTTTTTTAAGGGTGAATATTTATTTTATACTTTGATTTCTTTGACTACATTATAAATCTAATGTTGGCATCATAATAATATAATTGCGAATGAAAAAAAATGAGTGGTATATTTTGATTTATGATTAAAGGGTAATGCGATTCGTTATTCATGAATTATCAAGTAATTATTAAAAGAAATGTTTTATTTTCATTTCATGACTACATCCTTCAAATGATGGGCATTCGGTCGAAAATTGATTATTATTGATGCATATCATTTGCATTTCATTTATTCACATTATAATCAATTTCTATTTATTGTTTGACCTTTGCCTGAGTCTTTGACGTCAATCGCTTATCATCAATCAACCGTATATTAAGTTATAAAGCTGCGCAGAATTAGTTTTACTGATATTTTTCCGGGTTACAAAACAAATAAAAAAGGAAAAACCTTGATATACAATCCCGGAATTCGTACCCGGTTATGGAAAATTGGGTGCAAGATTCAGTTAGCGCAAAGTTCTTTAATTATACATAAAAAATGAATAACAAGGAAGTTCTTCGAATTCCTGTTCATATCAACTATCGTTTTTATACTTAGCAATTCCATTAAAGTTTTAATGATTATTGAGTCACTTTTTTTTTTTTACTTATGTTGTTTTTCGGTGATTTTACAATCGTTTAATTTTATAAATGAATATTATTTAACAAAGTATATTCGGCACTCCTACAGTTTTTTTTTTTTTAAATTTATGATATTGAGATATATGAAAAAAAAAATTATATTTGATTTTAAAGGAATGTACACTATAAAGTTAATACTCTTTTAAAAATATTTTAGATAACTAACTAACTCCCCGGCACAACAGACCAGCATGAACCTTGGCCTCCTGAGTTATTTTTCTCCACTTCTCTCTGTCCTGTGCTACTCTCTTCCAACTGCGAACTCCTGGCTTTCTCTCATCTCTCTCCACTTCATCCTTCCATCTTCTTCTCGGCCTTCCTCTTTTCCTCTTCCCACTGAAGTGTGCTTCCAATATTTTTCTCTGCACCCGTTCATTCTCCATTCTGACTACATGTCCTGCCCATTTCAACCTGCCTGCTTTGATGTAGTTAGTAATGTTTTGATTCTCTAATATAGCCTCTATTTCATAGTTACTTTTGATTTTCCACTCAACATTATTTCTTATTCTTAACTTCTTATTATTTTCCTTTCGAATACTTTTAGTTTACGGCAATCCTCTTTCGATAAACACCAGGTTTCCCCTCCATAGGTGACTATTGGTCTAATAAGCGTTTTATAGAGCTTTAAAAATATTTTAGATAATAAATTTCAATAATTTGATATTTCATTTATTTTAATTTTTCTTCCTGAAATATTTGAAAGAAAAGTCTTAAGAAAAATGTTTAATTAAAATTAAAAATGTTAGTGAAAAATAATTTATTTCATGATTCAAATTTTGATGAGATAAAAACTAATTGTTGATGATACTAATACCATATATTAAAAAAAAAATCATAATATTATTGGATTTTAAATGATGCATTTCAAATTAAAAAATAATTGGATGGTTAATGGTTTGAATTTCAACAAAGTTCACCTCATCTGGCGGAAATAGAAATAAAAAAAAACACACTGTAACAGTTTCATGAAAGAAAAGAGGAGTGCTATTTTTAGAAGAGTAAAATAAGTAGTTATAATAACAGCAGCAAAATAATTTCTAATAATAATATTTATTATTATAAGAAGAATATGAATGTCAATAAATCGAAAACAACAAAGTAGTTTTCGGCTGTAGTCATTAATACAGTTTATTTTTTTTTATTTTACAATTATGGTGAACAACATTTGGATTAACTGATTTATTTCTTATATTACTACAAATTATTCACTTACTGCATATTTGTATTCTTCAAAATATTTAACTGAGAAATATTTGTAAATATTTTATAGTCTATTAAATTCTATGATGACCGAGGTCTAGGTTTGGGTTACGAGAGGAAGAAGGGATTTAGACTTATCATGTGTTGGGAAGACTTCTATTAATTAATCTGTACATTATGGAAGTGACCTATACATTAAATACGTTAGTAAAAATCTAGACTAAATTGAAGCGAAAAAACAAACCCGGAATTACCTGGATATATTCAAATATGCTTCGATATTTAATTAAATATGTATATTTTAAAATAATTTGTTATACTCCAATGAAAGCAAAAAAAAAATCAGG